CTTTGGAGAAAGTCTACTGAAACTCTTTTTCCCTTTCTTATATTGGCTGTCTTTTTCCTGACTGGTTAGTTGTAAGAGGTTTCTTTAAATGTATTCTATATAGCAGATCTCCATCAGATAATACAATTTACAAATATTTCTCCCACTCTATGGATTGGCTTTTCACTTCCTTGATAGTGTCCTTTGAAACAAAATGCTTTTAACTTGAATGAATGAATGAATGAATGAATGAATGAATGAAATCCAGTTTATCTATTGATTTGTTGGGTTGCTTGTACATTTAAGAAACCAGCTTCTATCCCCAAATCATGAAGATGTATGTTCCTTAAAACATTGCTTTTTAGTGGGTGGTGGACGTTATTTAATAATGTCTCTTGAAAAAAAAAAGTCTCTTGTCTGTTGATTGATATTTCTCTCAACTGATGCCCATGTACCTGTTTAACCTCCTGTGGAGCATGCCATGGCCTATAACAGTGATTTTGGAAATGGTATCTATCAATATCCTGGCTTTGGTTCAAGGGAGAGTCCCGGTTCTATAGTGGAACTCGTCTTAAACTCACCCACAGTTTCACAAATTGCTCAGTGCCTTTGGAGGTGAGTAGTTGATCTTTTTGAGGAACATGTGTCTGGTAGTCCAAATCATATTAGGGTTCTAGGACTTTCTCAGCCCCCTCCAGACTGGAGGGCTTTCCATTAATCTCTGGTCTGAATGGGAAGTAGACGTGCTTCAGGGTCTTGGGAAAGTTGTTCCATACAAATTGGTTCCTCTCCAATCTTTTTATTATATACATTATTTCTTTCTAGAAAAGGGGAAAGGATATTTATATTAGAACAACTTGTCTATTCTTTGCCAGTTGTCTGTGTTTTTAAAAAATGTTCATCATCACTAGCCATCAGGGAGATTCAAATCAAAACCACATTGACATACCACTTTACACCAGTTAGAATGGCCAAAATTAGCAAGACCGGAAACATTTGTTGGAGAGGATGTGGAGAAACGGGAACCCTCTTACATTGTTGGTGGGAATGCAAGTGGCTGCAGCCACTTTGGAGAACAGTGTGGAGATTCCTCAAGAAATTAAAAATAGAGCTTCCCTATGACCCTGCCATTGCACTACTGGGTATTTACCCCAAAGATACAGATGTAGTGAAAAGAAGGGCCATCTGTACCCCAATGTTTATAGCAGCAGTGGCCACGGTTGCCAAACTGTGGAAAGAACCAAGATGCCCTTCAACAGATGAATGGATAAGGAAGATGTGGTCTATATACACTATGGAGTATTATGCCTCCATCAGAAAGGATGAATACCCAACTTTTGTAGCAACATGGACGGGACTGGAAGAGATTATGCTGAGTGAAATAAGTCAAGCAGAGAGAGTCAATTATCATATGGTTTCACTTATTTGTTGAGCATAGGAAATAGCATGGAGGACAAGGAGAGATGGAGAGGAGAAGGGAGTTGAGGGAAATTGGAAGAGGAGGTGAACCATGAGAGACTATGAACTGAAAAACAATCTGAGGCTTTTGAAGGGGCAGGGGGTGGAGGGTTGAGGGAATCATGTGGTGGGTATTAGAGAGGGCACGGATTGCATGGAGCACTGGGTGTGGTGCAAAAACAATGAATACTGTTATGCTGAAAAGAAATAAAAAATTAAAAAAAAGAAAAAATAATAAAATAAAATAGAAAAATATATAAAGGTTTATAAAATTAAAAAAAAAAAAAAGAAAGGCACTTTGATAAGCACCCAGTGTTGTATGTAGGTGTTGAATCATTAACTTGTACCCCTGATACTAATATTACATTTTATGTTAACTAATTGGAATTTAAATAAAAACTTTAAAAAAATGAATGTTAAATAAGGACTTTTTTCTTACAATGAAAAGCTGAAGAGAGTGACTTCTGCCTGGGAAGACAGTAAGCCATACTATTTCCTATTCTTCCCTCTAAGTACAACTAAAACCCTGGTCATTATATATAAAATAAACATAAGACACTGAAAGATATAAAAAGGCAGGTTGACTAGGGACCTCAGGATGCAAGGAATGAGATAGTGATGAATTCCCTGATCCCTCTAGTCCATGGACCAGCAAAGGGGCAGCTTAGCAAGACACAGAGACCATAGAGAGACCAGTAAAGAGGCCCTCCTATCTCTCCCAGCCTTGGGGTGTAGGGTATCAGGGGGACATAGTGGAGAGCTAGAATTCCCATCCCTGCTGAATTAACAAGGAGCCCTCTCCTTTTCTGCCTTTATTCATTTTCAAAATTTGCCAAGCTCTCTTCTTTAGAAAATAAACTACCCTTTTAACTAACATAGAAGAATGAATAAGTTGTACTCTGGGCTACCTTCCTCCTTCCCTTTCTACCTTCTAGAACACATTCTTGGGGACAGACTGTGTGTGATAGGCTTCTCAGGGTGAAAGGGTGTATTAGCAGTGCGGAGAAGGAACAGTGCTAAAGGAGTCATCACCCAGTTCCCCTTGCCTATCCTCTTCCATACCAGCTGGTAGGCTCTCATTTCACATTTGGCTGGGAGATTACCAAAGAACTTAGGAAACTGACACTTTCTGCACATATCCAGATTAGGAAGGTTTAATGGCCACCATCATCAGTCATTGGAGCCAGAGCTAGTTCACAGAAGCTGGTGCCTGAGAAACTGAAGGAATCTCTTTTCGTGCCCCCACTCTACTGATACATCAGTGTAAAAAATTTAAAACACGAACACATAGTCGATACTGTTGACAAGAAATAGTAGTGTGATAAAATCCTCCAAGTAACAACCAAGAATTTGAATTCTCCTATGTGGCCCACTTACCTAATGGGTATTGGGAAAAAAACAGTAGTATAACTGAAGACAGTGTAGATCTTGAGAGTTGGTTATAATAGGATTTGGCCTGGATTTTTAAAATGACACACCACTCAAAACGTGGCTGGGACCACACAGGGTTTCCCACAAAAGTGTTTTGCTGCAGAAAGGGGCCTCGAGTGGCTAAAGCTCAAAGTTTTAAAGCTCAAGTATTTACTCTAAGAAAGTAACCACCAAAACACTTAGAAATTTGCATTCCCAGCAAGACAACCCCATGCCCTACTGCCTCACTCTCAGGATCTAAGGCCTACACACCAAAAGATAGCTGTGTCATCCGCTTTGAACAAGAAAGACAGGAGGTAGCTAAACTGACCTATGGGTGCCCTTTCAGTGTGGCTGGGCACATCCTAACAGTCAAGGTGTCCCTTAAGCATCAAGTTTGGCTTCCTTCACTGTTGAAAGTTTTGACTTGCATTTATCCTTAATGGGAGAATGACAGATACTTGGAAAAAAATGTTTTCTCTCTGATCCCTAAGAGTGGACTGGATAGCTACTTTTCATTCCACAAATGAGAAACATTGACCCTACTTCTTCATCAAACACTTTAAAAAAAGAGAAAAACAAAATGGTCCTGTTTGTACTTGGTGCAGGGAAGCAATACTATTCATGGTTAGGAACCCCAAGGGTATCTTCTTGCTTCTTGGCCTATTGAGTCTAAGATGAAGGAATTTTTAGGTGCAGCAAAGGAACCTTAATTTATTTCCAGGACACTGTTTAGTGTAGTGATGTGCACAGGGTTGGCCACATTAATGAAAGACTACAGAGAGCAAGACTACTTCTCTCTTGTTGAAGAAAATCTTGGGGACCATTTATCAAGAGCCTAAAAATTTCCTATTCAGTCTCTTAAGAATAATGAAAAGGCATTTTTTTTTAAAGATTTTATTTATTTACTTGACAGACAGAGATCACATGTGGGCAGAGAGGCAGGCAGAGAGAGAGGAGGAAGCAGGCTCCCTGCTGAGCAGAAAGCCTGATGTGGGGCTCAATCCCAGGACCCTGGGACTGTGACCTGGGCTGAAGGCAGAGGCTTTAACCCACTGAGCCACCCAGGCACCCCAAAATGGCATTTTTTAATTAAAGAAAAATGTAGGCACATAAAAATCTCCCAAAGATACAAGACATTAAGGTTTTCCCTGGTTCCACTCCCGCTTTTGAAGCTGTCTGCTCTGCAAAAGAAAATATGGAAGCAGGGCCAGGCCAGGTGGGACTAACCTATGGGAATGTGTCAAGAAAGTATAAGCTGTGGCACTAAACTAAAATAAGAAAGTAAGTCTTTTGCCCTCAGCCTTTCTTATAGTGCTGAGACATATTTCTTTAGCAGAAGTGAAAACAAGTGGTAACAAAGTGGCCTGGGCCTGTGCTGGGCTAAAAAGGAGACTTCCTGATAGCCCCAGTCTGTGTGGTAGGTCAGGTCTCACATAGCCTTTGAAAGGGGTCACTGGCCAATGACTTCTGTATTAGGGATGGGTCAGGTATAGGATCTGAAGGAGGTTATCAAAGTAAAAACATGAAATGAGATGAGAAAGGGTTCCTGTGGGGCATCTGGTATCACAGAAAGCACAGACAGTGCCACATACTCTAGGAATACAGAGAACCCATGCAAGGGAAAGCTGCCCCTGCAAGAAGGCAACTATAAGTGGGGCAGAAGTCTGGCACAATCCCATCTCTTGGAAAGCCAAGGTAGCAGTGGTAGAATCTCTACCCAACAAGGATCCTGAGAGTTCACTCTTCATCCATTTTAGAGAAAAAGCTTCCTGTAATGGTTCTTACCCCGCAGCTCCCCCAAACTGGTCTTGGTGAGTCCCCACAGGCAGAGAAAACACATCTAGCTAGGAGGCTTCCATTAACTATATATATATATATATATATATATATATATATATATATATATATCATACACACACACACACACACACACACACACACACACATATATATATACACATGCATATATGTTTTTGTCTTAAAATAAATTCCATGAACTCATAAAGCTCCCATCTGCAATTTCAAAGGCTCTGAAACACACATACCAGCCTCAAAGCAAATTAGCCTTCCAGGCTTAGGTAAGACTGGTCCAGTCCAGAAAGGCAAGAGAAATGCTTCTCTTAAATCCTGGGAGAGAGGAAGGGATCCCTTCAGATGGGCTTATACAGAAGAGTAATGACATACTTCTTGTAGCAATGGGTTGCACTAAGGACCATCGCACTATCCTGCAATGGAAAGAAACATGCAGCTGATTCGTTAGTTCAGAGGACAGGTGGCTCTTCCAGCCACCAGTCCTTCACAGTCACTCACTTTTAACAGAGAGAGTTGATATCATATAAACAGGCTAGTTCAGTTCAACTTAAATTCCAATCCTGACTCCACTTGTTACTCTATTTGTGGCCTTGCTTTATCTACTTGATGCCTCTAAGCCTTTTTTCCTCATCAGGACAAAGGATAACACCTACCATGAAAGTAGTTATAGGAGACTATCTGGAACAGTACCTGACACATAGCAGATGCTAAAGAAATATTACTTTCCTACCTTCTTACTCCCTTCCCTAACACAAATTTGAATATTAGGCTTAAAACTAGCATGGAAAAAAAAAAAAGATATCCTGACATTTATTTTTAGAAGTCTAAAATGCAGTGAGAAGAAAGGGGAGTGATTTTTTTTTCCGTTTCTAAGTCCCAAAGAAAGTATAATTTCCATTTCATGCAGGGAAGAACTTAAAAAGTTCATTCTAATCAAGAGGAGACCCAGGAATCCCCCTCTACCCTTGAACAAACTAGACCCCAAAAATCTTCCATGGAAAGACAGTGCAATGGATCAACTCACACAGCCTAAACACTCTGACAGAACCTGGAGTGGGTCCAGGGCAAGCTGTATCACAGTAATCAAGACCCTGATCTGGGTTAGAACCAATGTGCCAGGTAAAAGGTACTCTTTCCCTGGCTGTGTTACAGCTCAAGGGTATGCCATAGGAGGAGATGGTAGGCCCGGGAGCATCAGTTGATAGTTAAAGAGCAGTTACAGGAGGCAAAAATCAGTCTGATCCAAAGAACCCAAGCAAATCCAACAGAGAAAACAATATGTCTTCCCAATTTCCCATACACTGCGTTATCTACAATGAGTGCTTCTCAGATTAACATTCTGTGACCAGCGTATGCTGATCACAGCCTAAATATGACAGATGCTAGGAAGGTAAAAAAAAAAGAAAGAAAGAAAGAAAGAAAGAAAGAAAGAAAGAAAGAAAGAAAGAAAGAAAGAAAGAGAAAAGAAAAGAAAAGAAAAAAAAAAAAAAAAACAATGGCTCCAGGAAGGGTTTGGTAGAAATGAGGAACAGATGAGAGAAAAACCTTGGAAAGACCTGGCACAGAGATCTCTACGAAAGAACATGGAATGAGGACAGGAGGACCTGAGTCCTCTCTCTGGTACTTACTGGCATTTAGACCTTCTCTGAGCCTTAGTTTCTTTATCTATAAAACAGGAGTTAAAAATAATACTTACCTCACAAGGTTATTATAAAAATTAAATTTAATAATATATATTTGAAAAGCACGACATAATTTGTTAAAGGTAGCTGTATTGTGATTTCCCTAATCTGGCTGAACACCTAAGAAATAAAAGCAGCCAAAAAAACAAGTACTGGGGGGTCCATCCTAGATGCACTTGTTCAGAATCTCTGGGGCTGTAGGCTTTGGAACTGTATTTTTACAAATTTTCCCAGGTGATTCTGATGATGGTCCACCTAGTCTGATAACTATGGAGCCATATGAAACTTCATTCCAATAGCCAAATCACAAAGACATGACAAGACTGAAAAGGTATTTTCAACACAAACTCTAATGTGGTGGAGAAGCTAAGGACTCTAGAATTGGAGGGGACAGAGCAAGTCTGGTCACATTCCTCCTTCACCTAGTGTAGTGGAGAGATGCAGCACTGAAGAACAGCTCACATCCACCTTTAAAAAGCAAAAGACTTAATCACATCCAAGCATTCTCTGAACTGGAAGATCAACTTGTTTTGCCTGCAAATGAAATCCTAGTGCTGTGAACTCCAATTTAATCAAGTAGGTGGTACAAAAGTTATAGCTATCCAGAAAGAAACCAGGAAGCGGACAAGTTCATTCAATCACAGGTCAATTCAGCTAGGCAGAACATAGGGATGGGGACTAAGATTAAAAACAAACAAACAAAAAACCCACCTACCAGTTAAAAAAAAAGAAAGTTCATCTCCTATAATTTGACCTTACAGCCAGCTTTAGCTTCAGTGAGGTAGCAGGGGAAGTAAGCACTGGAGAACACGTGTTACCCCTGCCCTCCCATTTTGGGGAAGAGGCAGGCCCACCACTTACCTTAATGGATAATGCATAGAGATGGTTCAGCATAACATGATTGGGCTCAGGAAGCAAGGCTGGGTCACACCAAGAGAGAAATAAAAAATCACTAAATGGAGTTAAGTGCAGTTTTGATCCGAACAGTTCACTCTTCCTTAGAGCTCTTTGGAACTGTTGAGAAAAGCTAAACTAGAATGTGTATTTCTTTTAAATAATACATTCACCCTAGTATATATCAATTTTTATGTTCTCATTACAGAGAATTAGGAAAATTCTGAGTCCAGGACAGGAGCTCTAAGCTTTAGCATCTATTTATCTTCTTTAGTAGAACTAAAACAAAAATCTTGCCCACAACACATATAGAAGATTTGTGTTAAGTGACAAAATAATCTTAGTGGGAATCAAGTGGATTGACTAAAGATGTAAATTATATGGAAAAAAAGAACAAAAAAACAAAAACCAAACTAAATTCCTTATATTCCCTTTGTATATCCCCAAATGGTATGTATGTCTTATCTTGTGTTGGACTGGAAGTCCCAGAAATTGGTTCTAGCAATCCATGGCTCTGTGTCTAATTAATTAGGACCAGAAGATTACTATGAATTTTGATATTAGTACCTGGAAAAGTAACAACTCAGCCCTGGAAAAAGGAACCTGAATGCTGTCGATATATATATGATTTATATTCTCAACATAGCTTTGTAATAACCCCTACCTCTAGGATTACTAACTTTGGCTCCAATGGTCCTAATAACCCCCAGATGCTGCAGCAATTCTCTCAGAGTACTCACAGAAATATTAGCACCCTTGTTAAGAATAACTTGAAGAAGGTGAGGAGTTAGGATGGGTGGGGATTTGAATCTCTCCTCAGATTGGAACACATACAATTCTTGACCATAAGGCCCTGGGGGAGAGCTGGAAAGGTCTGGAAGAGATTTATCCAAATATAAGGGAAAGTTGTGGAGCTAGCATGGACAAAACCATCAATACATGGCAGCTAATATTAAATACAGTCATAGATCATAAACTTGTATCCTGCTGGTCTACAACTGTAATGCAAAGAAAAAGTCCGAGTCTTCTTGAACATGAACTCTGAAATTCCTCAACATGGCAACATGATGTAGACGACAGAAGAGGGGATGAGAAGTGAAAGGCATAGGTTCAGAGAAGAGCTACTCTATTTATCAGTTGTATGGTTAGAACAATATGGTCAGCTTCTTCATTAATAAACTGAAAGATAATCTCTCCCCTATTTCACAATGTTTTTACAGGAATGAAAGGAGGTAACAGATGTGACAATGCCTTGTAAACTGTCAAACGATGTGAAAAAAATTAAGTTTTTCTTTTTTCCACAAAAAACCAACAGATAACAAGGTTATAAATACTAAGACTGCTGTTACTACAATGACTGCAACAAGGAGGACAAGATTACTAACAATGTAGTAGTTGTTAGGGAAATGTAAATCAAATATCACTTCACACTCATTAAGATGGCTGTAATAAAAACACAAACAATAATCATGGTTGGTGAGGATGTGAAAAAACTGGAACACTTGTGCGATCCCCATTGCTGCTGGGAATGTAAAATGGTGCAGGAGCTTTGGAAAATAGTTGGGCAATTTCTCCAAAAGCTAAGCTTGAAGTTGGCATATGACCTGGCAATTATACTCTTTGGAAATGAAAACAAGTCCACACAAAGACTTGAGCACAAATGTTGAGAACATTGTTTTTAACATACAAAAAGTGGAAATGATCCATATGTGCAATGGCTAATGAATTCCTACAATGGAATTTTATTCAGCCATAAAAAGGTGTGAAGTACTGAGACATATTACAACATGGATGAACCCTGAAAATGTGCTAAGTGAAAGAAGCCAAACACCAAAGACCAGACACTTCATGATCCCATTTATATGAAAAGGTCCCAAATAGGCAAATCCATACAGACACAAAGTAGATCAGGAAATTGGGTGAAAGAGGGAAGAGAGAGATACCAAAAGTATGCTAGTCTTCTTTCTACAGAATGATGATTCTCTATCTATTGCTCATCAGTTGCTTCTCCAGAATCATATAATCCAAAAATGTAGAGTTGCAAGTGGTCTCATCACTTAACTCAGTATAATTAAGCCCTTGTTAATCACTGCCCCACCAGTCAAAAAGAATGTTCAGCTTTACTTACTGGGATTGTATAATGAAAACTATTTTTATGATTTTCATACACAATTATTATACTGTTGATTGGTCTTTTAGAAGCTGCATAAGGCACCTCTGTGCCCTGAGATTCCACTTTGGGTTGTGTCTCCACAGATGAGAATCAACTGAGATTTGAAGCCTCTGATTTTTGAGATATGGAACTGAGAACCAGAGGGACCAGTATACTCACTGGGAACAGGGTGCACAATTCTTTAGACAGTTACAGCCTTTAATGTAATGTACTAAAATGGAAACTGTGAGTGTGGTTAGCAAATCAGTCTTCTGATGCTGTAGCAAATGTGATGAAAGCCATGGGAAAAAGTAAGATTGGGAGAAACAAAGGGATACAGGTCTTTTCCTGTAACAGGAAATTTATTTTTTCATCAAAAACTTATAAAACCTCAGTTAACATGCACACCAAAGAGTTGTGGGGGATTTGTAACCCTTTCTCCCCAGAGACAGTCATAGCTGGAGGGCCATATAAAACTGTGGAATACCCAGCCTAGCTACCAAACTGGCAGGATTAAGCTAATGCAGAGGCAACTAAACAAGGCAAACCAGACAGAACTAGTCTCAGCTAGGTGTAACTGCCAAAAGGTCAATGAAAACTTGAAATATTACTAGAAACAGCTTCTTAAACTGTAGGCTATAACCCATTAGTGGCTCATGAAAGAAAGGATAAAATAGAAAATAGAGTGTATCACATATAACAAAGACAGACATTCTGCTGAGACTTGTCTTACAGTGTGCATGTGTGTGTTTGTGTGTTTGTGTGTGAGACAGAAAGAGAGAGAGAGAGATGGGGACAGGGAGAGAGATGGGAAGAGAGAGAATGGGTTCCAATGTGTAAAACAAATGTCTTGATATAGATCTTGGTTAAAAACTTTGAAATCAAATACACTAGGCTGAGTTTTTTTTTTTTCCTCTCAGACAAGAACTAAATGTTTAGAAGACAAAGATATATATAGAAATAACTATATATATAATGTGTGTGTACACATACACTTAAATACATTACATATATCCCATATATATTCCATATATATGTGTGTATATATGTGTATATATATATGTGTGTATATACACACATATATACAAGTGTGTACAAGTGTGTATATACACACTTACATATATTACATATATATACACACACACACGTGTGTGTGTGTGTGTGTGTGTATACACACATATGTGATTCAGAGGATTCCTGAGAAAATGAAAAACAAAACACTCTTGGGAAGAAACATGCATTATAAGAAAAACACATCAAGAAAGAGCAAGACATCTTGACAAGATGTCTCCAAGCTTTCCACTGAATCTAGCTTTAAGGCATCAAACACCTCAAAGTGAGATTTCTTGACATGGATCAAATTGTTAATTGTGGCAAGCTGATGGGTAACCACAGGTTGAAACAATGAAAGGAAAATATTCATATATCCTGTTTTAAATTCATCTCTTCCATCTAACTCTCCGGTTTTAAAAAATGATCATGCTGGGCACCTCCATCTTTAATCAAGAGAGAAACCCTCCAGTGTAGGAGCCCCTCAGTCCTGAGAGCAATGACGTTTGACACCAAGAGGAATAATAGCCAAAAGGACAAAGTTCAGTTAATGGTTACCCTTGGATATCAAGGCCTTACCTCTGATGGATCATGAACCCACTGTCCATCCACGAAGAACTTGTACTGGTGCTCTCCCTCAGGGAGGTCTAAGATGGCAACAAAGTCATTATGGCTACAAAAGAAAACAGAAGGTTAAACAAGCCAAGTTCCTGTTAGAAGACAGAATGTCAATGTAAAAACCATGAGACACTCACAATATACCCCAGTGATCTCCCACATTCCTAGGTGATTGTCCCCACTGGAATAAAAAATGTATAGACCCATTCTCCTTTTCTGTATCACATTGAGCACATATTTGCCAGCCCCTCCCAATAACTTTAGTTCTTAATATCTGGAAAAGAATAATAGTTGTTAATCCCCCAAAATGATTCACCTTGTTCAACTAATTTGCTTCAGTAGGAACAGATCCTTCACAAGTGTAAAGAAGATAGTAGGTAGCTTCAGAATACAGAAGTTCCTCAAGGTACCATTTTCCATATTTTGGTGAGCACTGTCTGAAAAATAACCTACTGAAAAAGGGCCATTCTGATTACCAAGTAGTTCATTATTGCTCTGCAAGCAACAGTTCACATTACTCCCTAGAACATCAATTGTGTTTTTAGTGCAGAAGTCAGAACAAGTGGACTCAGCCAGTTACAGATGACTTCCCACAGGCATAAATAAGCAGGACTTGTGTTGTTAACACAGTCCTAAAGAATGTACCCACAAAGCTGTATGACAAGTTCCTCTGAGGCAATGTCATTCTAACTGGTTAAACATTTCTGACTCACTATGAGATTAAAAAAAAAAAAAAAAACCACAGATGTAGTCATTGGCCACAAAAAATGTCCTAGAGAGAGTCCCTAGTGGGAGAAGAGCAGTCCAGCCAGGTCTCTCTCCTGAGTAGGAAAATCTGTACTCCTGGACCCTGTAGACTCAATCAAGACACTCGTCTTCACCTCTTAATCAGTAGAATCTTGGTGCTCCAATTGTTGAAGGACCCAGAGATGAAGACCTCCTTGCCCCCTTCAGACCAGCAGATAACAGTGGGCTGGGCCTGCTGTGTGGGCTTTATGGAGTCCTCCAAATCCTGCTGCCATGATACAAACTCTTTGTCCCCATGGAGCTGTAAGAAGCGTTAGGTCATCCCTAAATTGTGACCCAGGAACTCTTAAAAGGCCACTCTCCTCCCTAGGGCAGAGAGAGGTGCTACATTTCTGGGAAGGATCAGTAAGCCTTGAAATTAGCAACTGAATCAAATTTTGAATATACTATAGAGAAATAACCCATCTAGGACCAAATGGTCAAAAGGCTTATGCTCAACGGTTGCCCAAAGCACAGCCTAACTTTAGAGTTTGCATAGATCACTCACCCTTTCAGAGCCTGAGGATCTCCCTTTCAAAAAAGAGGTGGGAGAAGTTTACTGCTCCCTGTACCCGATTAACCCACAGGCAGGCAATTACGATATGCTTCTGAATCTCTCTTAAGAGAAAAAAATATGAAAAAAAGTATGCTTCCATAAAAAACAATAAAGTTAGCCAGGTATTTTTCACATGTAAATATGAATAGCTCTGAATTATCAGTTGTAATGCAAGTTAGAGACACTGAAATCCATAAGTAATTCATAAACTTCATTTTGGCTAATCGGTTACAAAAAGGACATTAAAAGTATAGAAAAACGATATCATTGGTTTCTTAATTTTTTAAAAGATTTTATTTATTTATTTGAAAGAGATCACCAGTAGGCAGAGAGACAGGCAGAGAGAAGGAAGCAGGCTCCCCGCTGAGAAGAGAGTCTAATATGGGGCTCCATCCCAGGACCCCGGATCATGACCTGAGCTGAAGGCAGGCTTTAACCCACTGAGCCACCCAGTTTTTAAGAAAAGTTGCCCCAGTTTCTTAATTAACAAAAAAATTAAGATTTTATATATTTATTTGACAGAGAGAGATCATAATTAGGGAGAGAGGCAAGCAGGGGTGTGGAGGGGAGGTAGCAGGCTCCCTGCTGAGCAGAGAGCCCGATGTGGCGCTCCATCCCATTACCCTGAGATCATGACCTGAGCCTAAGGCAGAGGCTTAACCCCCTGAGTCATCCTGGTGTCCCTGGTGTCTTAATTTTTGAGAAGTGTTTATGAAATCTTACTTGCTCACTTCTGCCCGGCATATACTAATTATTTCAGGAGTGGGGATGAAAACTCTGGAGGCTCAAGGAGCATCAGATCAAAAACAAAGCTTCCTTTTAGAAAAGCAGTTCCAATATCAAATAAGGTCTGTAGGATTTAAAAAAAAAAAAAAGGACTTCTTACTTAGTTTCTTCTCATTAACATCTTTTAGAACAAGAGTTGGTAGACTATGGCCAGGAGACGATGCTTTTATAAATAAACTTCTTTGGAAAATAGCCATGCTCTTTCATTTACATATTATGTATAGCTGCTTTCATGTTAAGCAAAACCGAATAGTTGTGACAGAGACTGTATGGTCCACAAGGTCTAAAGTATTCATTGGGGGCGCCTGGGTGGCTCAGTGGGTTAAAGCCTCTGCTTTTGGCTCAGGTCATGATCCAGGGTCCTGGGATCGAGCCCCGCATCTGGCTCTCTGCTCATTGGGGAGCCTGCTTCCCTTCCTCTCTCTTTCTGTCTGCCTCTCTGCCTACTTGTGATCTCTGTCAAATAAATAAAATATTAAAAAAAAATAAATACGGTATTCATTGTATGGTCTCTTACAGAAAAAGTTTGCTGATTCCCACTTCAGATTGGTTTAAATGACTTTGGCAAATAGGACTGTACTGTATCAAGTAAAAACATCCCCAAATAAAATAACGTAGGTTAAAAAAAAGATTAACTTATTCATTTCAGCTTTACTTTGAAAGTGGCTAGGGTAGTCTACCTTTCATACGGTCTCTCAATAGTCCTCAAAACTGTAGTGTGAGACACCAGGAGCAGCATAAACTCAAGTAAACAGAGAAACAATGGAAGGGACTTTCACATTACAGAAGGAAGAGTCATAAGTGAAAACCTTTATCTCCATATTCTTAAGGCAATGCACTGTGCCTGACTGGATGCATTAGAATTACAGAAATTTTTACATATGTGTAAGAAAAACTCTCATATTCTGATTTAGATATAGGGCCTAGGAATCTCTTTTTAAAGAGATTCACTGAGAATAATAATACTGATTGGTAAAATAAACAAAGCAAAAACTCTACAGATACATCCTACAATATGTACAGATAAAATAATATTTGATAAGATGTCTGGAATTTGTCTCAAAATAATTGGGGGGGGAGAGTGGATTGGGGTATAGAGGATATAAATTTGTTCACAATTTTATCATTGTTTAAACTGGGTGATGGGTATATAGGAGTTCATTACACATTCTATTCTGAAACATGGAAAATGTTTCCAAATTTCCATACAGTGTTTAAACAAATCTCAAGTGATTCTATTGTGTGAAACAATACCAATCTGTTTTGATTATGATAACTTCAAAATAGTTCTTCACATCAGGTGCAGCTAACCCTCAAACATGGTTCGTTGTTTCCCAAGTGTTTGGCCATATGAGGTCATTTATACTTTTATATGAATTTAAAAATCAGTTGGTCACTTTTGACCAAAGATACAGGCTGAGATCCAATGGGGGACAGTTGATGTTCGAACAGTATTGAATCTTGTCACCCTTAAATATGGAAGTTCTCTTCATTTTCTAAGGCTTCATTTATTTCTCTGTGAAATAGATTGTGATTTTCAGTCAGATCTGTCCCTCAGTATTTCAAGCTTCATGCTATTACAAATGAGACCACTTTTCACATTTCACTTAGGCATTGTGATCAGACAAATCACACCTGAGTTTTATGTATGGATGTTGGATCTGGATGCAAGCAACCGCGTTTCAGATTCAAGCTTGATCTCGCAGTAACCGTATCTTTGGAGATTTAGGTATTTTTCAGGTGAGAAGGATCTGATTCCATTCCCTTGCACTTTTCTCAGCATCCCAAGGAAAAGGAATAATCCAACCCACATGCAGTCCTGTGGCTGCGAAGATTGTACAGAGTCTTTTGGACCAATGCATATGAAATGTTTTGTATGTCCATTAATACATTTTCCTTGAGAGTAACCATGCAATTGGCAAGGCTGCCAATTTATCTTGTGTTTAGCTATAACAGCACAGTTGTAAAATTTAGAGGCCGATGTTCTCTGTTATAATTTTTTTTAAAGATTTTATTTATTTATTTTACAGAGAGAGGTCACAAGTAGGCAGAGAGGCAGGCAGAGAGAGAGAGGGAAACAGGCTCCTCGCAGAGCAGAGAGCCCAATGCGGGGCTCGATCCCAGGACCCTGAGATCATGACCTGAGCCGAAGGCAGAGGCTTTTTAACCCACTGAGCCACCCAGGTGCCCCTCTCTGTTATAATTTAATTGAGTCCTCAATAATGTATTGCCATTATAATGTACTGACAGAAAATTTGGAACAGTATGCAATGATATATCCATCAAATGCCACGAGTTTGTGCTCAAATCTGATTTCTCTCATTTCTGATGTGGTCTCTTATAAAAAGACACCAGCAGCAGGTAAACAAATAATAGTGGCAGGCTGAGGGCTGTGTGTGACTGAGTTGTGTGATTCAGCTGCCTTAGGAGACAATAGCTCATACTCCAAATCTGACTTAGGTATCCACTCCCATCAATCCATAAGCATCAAGTCCTGATTCTGCAACAGAATCTGTAGTCCTTTGTGTCAACTTCATTCTCATAAGGAATAGTGAAGATCTCTGGGTTAAGTAATGATTGCTGTGTGCAGCAAATTTAAGTTACCTCTTTAGTCACTGAACTTAACATCCTATCAGGTAAAGCTTGTTCACCAGTGTAACTCACAAGGTCACATTCTCTGTGGCTCAGGTAACAGGTCTCAAAGAAATCAAAGCATCCATTCAGTGTTAGGTGTCTCACCTAAAGTTCACCCTTGATGGGCTAACATGTGGCTCATAAAAAGATTTAAATGTGTTTGATTTAGGTTTATCTAATGGTTAGATAGATAATGACTATCAGGCCAGTTTTTCTTTCCCAGGGCTCTGCCTTTTTGACAGAACCTTTGGGTCAATATAAACATGGATTTGTACAAAGTTGTTTATAACCAACCAATCATTGTGTACATGA